ATCGCCTCGCCGGGTGTCTCCCCGGGGAGGTCCCACTGGATATTGTTGATTCGTGTTTTGTACAGCTGTTGTCCCGTGTCGGGGTCCTTGGGTTCTGGCCATTGACGCGGGTCGGGCCTCTGGTGCCGCCGCGCACCCTGGCCGCAAGCCTCCACCGTACGGGCCTCGTCGTCCTGGCTGGGGGGCTCGCGATCTGCTCGCGACAGCTCCAGCTGCACGCCTGGCAGGGCTTTGCGGGGAAATGCAGGACGCACGGTTGGCCGCCAGGCTGGGGTCGGGTCGCGTCGGGCGGCCGGGGCAGACGCAGCCTTGTGGCACGTGGGGAGGGGCCCCTTTCGCTGACGTTCGCCTTCGGGCCTGTGCCCGCCGTCGCTCCCAGGTGCGCCCCCTTTGGACAGCGCAGGACTCTCTCCGGCCTCTGGGGCACCACTGGTTGTGCCGGGCGCGCGCACACTCGGCGGCACAGCTTCCATGGCCAGGGCGCAAGCTGCTTTGCCAGTGGTGCCCTGGACGCCTGACGAGGGCGCCTGGGGTTCGCTGCCCATAAGAAGCTCACTGACAGGGGAAGGGGGGCGAATAGGCGCGAAGAGGTTTCTCCCGACGAGCCAGCAGATGGCTTCGCTGTCCTGCGTCTGGGTGGATGCTCCGTGGTCTCCCTGCAGGGTGCGTGGCTCTCCCAGAGGACTGCTGACGGACTGATTGTCCTGAGGGGGATACTCCGCGGTTTCCGCAGCCTCCGCCGTCTCCGCCGTGACTTCCCGCCCTGTTCCTCTGGCCTGATGGCACTGCTGAAGGGGAGGGTCGTTAGTGTGAGCTGCACACCGGTCACTGCAGGCTACCTCCTCTCGATTCCCCACTGGGACGTCATCGTCTGACCACGATGCGGGGGGTGGTATCGCGACCTCTGCCTCAACCACCTCTCGATTCCCCTCTGGGACGTCATCATCTGTCGACGAAGCGGGGGGTGGCACGTTGCCGCTGCTGCTGCTGCTACGTTCCGAGATGTCGTCGTGAGTATCGAGATCTCTTGGCTGGCACCCCTCCGCGCATTGTTCTGGGCACACAGGATTGCCGGGAGCTCGGTTTGCATAAGTGTCTTTGACAACCCGATACTCGTCGGTCTTTCGATCGGCGAGGTTCTCCGCGCTGCCAGCTGCTGCGAACCCAGCAGGATCCCAGGAGCCCACCACATCCACCTTCACGACGCCCTCCACCTCGTCCTCGTCCACCTCCTCGTCCTCGTCCTCCGCCTCCACCTCCACGTCGCCCCGCGCGTCCTCGAACACCTCCTACAGCTCCTGCTCCACCACCCCCTTCTCCAGGACCCAATCCAACACCTCCTCGTCCAGCAGGGGGCGGCAGCCGGCGGCGGCGGCAGCGGCGGCCGCGTCGGCCGAGGTGGCGCCAGCCGCGGCCATCGTGGCGCCGGCCGCGAGGGCAGCGGCCTGCGCCAGCGTGGCCGCAGCCGTCCAGAGAGCCGCGCGAGCCGCGACCGCGGCGGCATCGGCGCAGGCGGCAGCCGCAGCCGCCGCGTCCACCGCGAGGCCGACCGCGCCGGCGGGCGAGGCGGCCCTCGAGGCGGTGGCGGCAGCAAGGGGCGGCGCGGCGCCAGGCGCGGCGCCGCTTCGGCCGCGGGCCGCGACAGGACCGCCGCACTCGCCGCGGAGCCAGGAACGGCCTGGCGGCGGCAAGGCGGCGGCAGCCGCGCGCGCGGCAACGGCGCGCCGAAGGCGGCGGCGCCGGCGCGTGGCGGCGGAGCCAGCAGGCGCGGCGCCCAGATCCCCTGGCATGGCAAGCCGCGGCACGGTGGCGGCGGGCCCAGGTCGCGCCGACCAACCTCGAGCCGAGACGGCTTGAGCCAAGGCTTGAGCCAGAGGCTACGGACTGGTGGGGTTACGCGAAGCGTGAAGAATTGTTTCTGGAGTGACAGCGGAGGAAGTATCGAGCGGGAGCATCGCTGTTTGTAGGGGGCCCGAGGCGAGAACGCCCGTCCTGAGGTAAAAAATAGGAAAGCATGTTGTTGGAAAGGCGGCTTTGGGGGGCGAACTAGAACCCTGGCCCCGAGTGAGAAAGGATAAGTATCGAGCCGGAGCGATTTTGTTGCTGGGGGGCCGGTATTGCCAGAACCCTGAAACGCTTCAGCTTGAGCCTAATGTTCAAGGGACTGCAGCCGGCGCCTAGGCGAGAGCGCGAAAGCGCACTCAGGGTGTCCTACAATATTGTTTTAGTGATTACGGCTCAACGACAACAACAACAACAACAACAACAACAACAACAACAACAACAACAACAACAACAACGACACCAACAACAACAACAACAACAACAACAACAACAACAACAACAACAACAACAACAACAACAACAATCATTTTAAGACTGATCGCCCTTATCTGCTCGAGTGTCGAATAACGCGTATTTCCCTTTTCGTCTTCGATCGAACCCTTTTTGGGGGGTAGACCTTTCTTCCATGCAGGCCGGGCCCGGCAAGCGGCGGGGCGGCCGCGGACCGTCGGCCTGGCCAGCGGCCTCGCTGATCGGCGGGGCGGCCGCGGACCGTCGACCCGACCCCAAGAGGGACGGACAGGGGACCGACCACGACGACGACGACGACGACGACGTCGACGACGACGGCGACGACGACGACGAGCGAAAGCGAAAGCGAGAGAGAACGACAGCAGGCCCACGAAGGACACGAAGTAGGCCACGAAGGGCGACAGCGGGGACACGAAGGGAATGCGTATGGGGCCACAAAGGGAATGCGTATGGGGCCACGAAGAGCGCGAACGAGCGTGGGCCACGAAGGGCAGATAATGCGGGGCCACAGAAGGATTCATTTTAAAACTATTCGCCCTTATCTGCTGGAGTGTCCAATAACGCGTATTTCCCAAACCCTCGATACCCGTCCTCTTGGTCTTCGATCGAACCCCGTTTGGGGGGTTTACCGTTCTTCCCTGCAGGCCGGGCCCCGGCGAGCGGCGGGGCGGCCACGGACCGTCGGCCTGGCCAGCGGCAGCGCTGATCGGCGGGGCGGCCGCGGACCGTCGACCCGACCCCAAGAGGGACGGACAGGGGACCGACGACGACGACGACGACGTCGACGACGACGACGGCGACGACGACGACGACGACGACGAGCGAAAGCGAGAGCGAGAGAGAACGACAGCAGGCCCACGAAGGACACGAAGTAGGCCACGAAGGGCGACAGCGGGGACACGAAGGGAATGCGTATGGGGCCACGAAGAGCGCGAACAAGCGGGGGCCACGAAGGGCAGATAATGCGGGGCCACAGAAGGTAACGATGGGGCCACTGAGGGTAGCAACTGGGCCACGTAGGACAGGAAGGGGGCCACAAACGGCGACAGCGGGGCCACGAAGGGCATGCACATGGGGCCACAACGGGCGCGAACGAGCGGAGGCCGACACAAAGCGCATAAGTCAGGGGAGGTGCGCGGAGGGCAAGAAGGGGGCAAGAGGGAGCACGGGGGGCACGAAGGGCAGCGAGGGGCCCAAGAAGGGCCGACAGCGTGGCCACGAAGGGCATGCATATGGAGCCAACACCGGGCACGGCGAATCGAGAGCGGAGTGAGGAGGCACGAAGGGCACTACATATATGGGGCCACGAAGGGCAGCGAGGGGGCCACGAAGGGCTGCAACGGGGCCACGAAGGGCTGCAACGGGGCCACGAAGGGCTGTAACGGGGCCACGAAGGGCTGCAACGGGGCCACGAAGGGCTGCAACGGGGCCACGAAGGGCTGTAACGGGGCCACGAAGGGCTGCAACGGGGCCACGAAGGGCTGCGACGGGGCCACGAAGGGCTGCAACGGGGCCACGAAGGGCAGCGAGGAGGCCACGAAGGGCAGCGAGGAGGCCACGAGGGGCTGCAACGGGGCCACGAAACAAAACGAGGGGGCCACGTCCTAAGCGTGAGCGCGACTCCTGGGGGCCTGGGTGCCGGGAGCGCGGCGCCTGAGTAAATTGCAGGAAACTCCAACGCAAGGTCGCTATTCGTCAGTAAATTGCAAGCAAGTCTCCAGCGAGAGCGCGACTCCAGAGCGCCGGGACAGCGACTCCTGAATAAATTGTATGGAAGTCCCAAGCGAGAGCGCGACTCCTGAATAAAATGCGAGGAAATCTCGGGCGGCAGCGAGGGTCCTGGCTAAATTGTAAGGAAGTCTCAGGCGGGAGCCGATGTTGTTGTAACCCGGGGGCCAGGGGCGCAGTTTGAGCATCAAGACTTCCCATGTCAAACAACAGGGAACAGGGTGCGATCGTCGAGGGGCACACTTGGATTGAGAAAAAAAAGTATGCACCGGTGAGGGGGGATCAACAATAATCATTCTTCAGGAATGAGGGTTCAATAATAATAACCACAACGAAAAAACAATAATAAGAATAACAACAACAACAACAACAACAACAACAACAACAACTACTACTACTACTACTACTACTACTACTACTACTACTACTACTACTACTACTACTACAAGCACCAACACCAACACCAACACCAACAACAACAGCAACAACAACAACCACAACCACAGCAGCAGTAACAACAGCAACAACAAAAACAACTACTATACCTACAACTACAACTACAACTACAACTACAACCACCACCACCACCACCAGCGCAACAACAACGACAACGACCACGTCAACGACAACAACACAAACACAAACAACGACAACGACAACGGCAACATCAACGTCGCCATCATCATCATCATCATCATCATCATCATCATCATCATCATCATCATCATCATCATCAGCATCAGCATCAGCATCAGCATCAGCATCATCATCAGCATCATCATTATTAGCAGCAGCATCATCTTCATCATCATGAACATCATCATCAGCAGCATCATCAGCAGCAGCATCATCACCATCCTCCTCCTCCTCCTCTTCATCCTCCTCGTCATCATCATCAGCAGCAGCTGAATCCTCATCCACATCCTCATCCCGTTCCTCTTCCTCACTCCCGGCACCTGGGTCTCTGGATCCTTCTTCCCGCGGTAGACGGCCTCGTCTCCAGACTGCCGGATGGCCCACTCCAAGCCGTCCTGAGATGCGTGGCCCGGGCGCCCCTCGTGCGACGCCTCATCGTCGCCCTCCTCCTCCTCCTCCTCGTCCTCCTCCTCCTACCCCACCTCCTCCTCGTCGTCCTCCTCTTCTTCTTCGTATTAGCATTATTATTCGTCGTCTTCTTACTACTCGTGGAATTCGAACAATTATTGATATTATGATTTGTATGTTTCTTCGTATGTTTCTTCTGAATGTGGTTAGTATGATTAGTATTATGATTACATGTCAAAAACATTATCCGTATTGGTATTAACCGTATGACCTTCATTGCTACTAGCATCCGCAGTATTGTTCGTATGATTGTAACAAGGATTATGAGTAAAAATACTTGTAGTAGTCTTCGACTTCGTCTTCGTCTTCGTCGTCCTCTTCCTCGATACTGTAGAAGAAGAAGAAGGGAAGCAAGACCTAAGGTGTTCATCAAAGAAATAAGAAGAAAGCAGAAAGAAGAAGAGTAAGAAGAAGTAAAAAAGTAAGAAAGAAAAAGAACACTCCTCACAAATATCACAAGACTATAAAAAAAAGAATAATCAATAATTATAGTAAAGATACTTAAACACAAATAAAAATATTCGATATAAATCCCGAGTAATATCAACTCATCATAATTCTATGCTAAACCTCCTCCTCCTCACTCCTCATCCTCTCCGCCTATTCCTCCTTATTCCTCCTCTCTCATCCTTCCTCATCATCCTCCGCCATCTCTCCTCCCCCTTCCTCTTTCCTCCTTCCCGTCCCCCTCCTCATCCACCTCATCTTCATCCTCCTTCTTCATCCTCCTCCATCCTCAAACTCCTCCTTCTCACTTCATCCTCAAACTCTCCTCCTTCTCTCCTCAACCTCCCTACACCTCTTCCTCCTCTTCCCCATCCACATACTCTTCTTCTTCTTCCTCCTCCTTCCTCCTCCTTCATCCTCATACATCATCATCATCATCATCCATCATTCCCCTCCTCATGCCTTCCCCTCCCACTACTCTTCCTCATCCTGCCTCCTCCTCGTCCTCCTCCTCCTCCTGCTCCTCCTCCTCCTCCTCCGCCTCCTCCTCCTGCTCCTCCTCCTCCGCCTCCTCCCCCTCCCCCTACCTCTCACCGCCTCATCCTCCTCCTTCCCCTCAAAAGTATCAACCACCTCCGCCTAGCCGTTCTCGTTGCTACACCTCCTACACATCAGAACCTTACTCCGCATTACAACCAACGTCATCAGCCTCAGCAGCAGCCGCATCATCAGCATCGTCATCATTATCATCATCATCATCATCATCATCATCATCATCATCATAATCATAATCATCATCATCCGACATCATAATCCATCATCATCACATCATCATCTATCATCAGCATAAGCATCAGCACCGTCATCATTATCATCATACATCATCATAATCAGCAGCAGCCTCATCAGCATGTCATGTCAGCATCCGCATCAGCACAAAGCATCAGCATCATCATCAGATCATCGTCTTCACCATCATCATCATTCATTCATCATCCATATCATCATCAGCATTATGTCCAATCACATCATCATCATAATCATCATCAGGCAGAAGCGCATTCATCATCAACAATCATCATCATCATCATCATCATCAGCATCATCGTCAGCATCATCATCATCATCATCAGCAGCAGCATCATCATCATCATCATCATCATCATCATCATCAGCATCAGCAGCAGCAGCATCATCATCAGCAGCATCATCAGCAGCATCATCATCAGCATCATCAGCATCATCATCATCACCAACATCATAATCCTCAGCATCATCATGATGATCAGCATCATCGGCATCATCAGCATCGGCGTCATCAGCATCATCAGCCTCATCATCATCATCATCATCATCAGCATCATCATCATCAGCATCCTCATCATCAGCAGCAGCATCAGCATCAGCATCATCATCATCATCATCATCATCATCATCATCATCATCATCATCATCATCATCATCATCAGCATCATCATCATTATCATCATCATCATCATCATCATCATCATCATCATCATCATCATCATCATCATCATCGTCAACACCATCATCGGTATCGTCGTCAGCATCATCAGCATCATCAGCAGCAACAGAAGCATCAGCAGTTAGAGCATCATCATACACATCAGCATCAGCAGCAGCATCATCAGCATCATCAGCATCATCATCATCAGCATCATCAGCATCAGCAGCAGAACCAGCATCATCAGCGTGATCAGCAGCAGCATCATCAGCCTCATCATCAGAATCATCAGCAGCATCATCATCATCAGAATCATCAGCAGCATCAGCTTCATCGTCATCATCGTCATCATCACCATCATCATCAGCTTCAGCATCTGCAGCATCATCATCATCAGCGGCATCATCATCGGTATCAACATCGTCAGCAGCAGCATCATCATTATCCGCATCATCATACGCATCATCCTCATCAGCTCCATCAGCATCGTCATCATCATCATTATCAGCATCACCACAGTCGTCATCATCATCTGCATCGTCATCAGCATCAGCATCATCATCATCATAATCATCATCATCAGAAGCAGCATTAGCAGCAGCATCAACATCAGCATCAGCATCATTATAAGCATCATCATCAGCAGCAATAGCATCACACCATCAGCAGCCTCAGCATCAACGTCAGCATCCTCATCATCGTCATCAGCAGCATCAGCAAAATCATCACCATCATCCGCACCACAATCACCATCAACATAGATATCACTATCACAATCACCATCACAAACACCATCATCATCGTCATCATCATCAATCGCAGCATCAGCATCATCATCAGCCTCATCCTCATCCTCATCCTCGTCCTCGTCCTGATCCTCACGGGCATCATCATCATCATGAGCATCAGCATCAGCATCAGCAGCATCATCATGATCATCGTCGTTATCATCAGCATCACTATCATCAGCATTATCAGCATCATCATCATCACCATCATCAGCAGCATCATCGTCAGCATCATCATCAGCATCATCATCATCATTATTGTCAGCATCATCGGAATCAGCGTCATCAGTATAATCAGCATCAGCAGCAGCAGCATCAGCATCATCAACATCATCATCGTTCGCATCCGCATCCTCATCCTAATCCTCATCCTCGTGGGTCGCGATCTGCAACATCAACAACATCAACATCGTCTCCCCTGCCCCCTGCTCTTCCTCGTCCTCCTTTTCATCCTTCAGATCCTTCAGATGTTGGCGATGGTGCCCATCCGACGCAGCCATCCAACCCCCACTGCCTCCCTCCTCTGCCTCCTCCTCCTCCTGCTCCTCCTCCTTCTCATCCTCCTATTCGCCTTCCTTGTCTTTCTCCTCATCCTCCTCCTCATCCTCCTTCTTCTCATCCTCCTCCTCTTTACCGCCAGCTCTTGTCCAAACAAATAACTCCTGTCGCACCCCCAAACATTTGGTAGGGCGGGCCGGGCGTTTCGGCTGAGACCTTCTTCCAATTAAGATCCTGAAGCTCGAAAATCTGCAAGATTGTCAAGGACGGAGGGCAGCTGGTTTGCCAAAGGTGGCTCTCGCCCCAGTGCCGCGCGCAATCGTGTTCAAAAGATGCAACAGGTTTGTTTGCAGCACATGTGAGGCTGTAAGGCGGCTCCTTTTCAAAATGGGGCTCCCGCGGGAGCGCCGCTCACAGTTTTCTTACAAGTTGTCAGCAGCTTCGAGGATGGATGGTAGTTCCTTTTAAACTAATAATAAGAATGATAATAATAATAATATACACACAACGAAAAACAAAACATATATATACAAAAAAACAAAAAACAAAAAAAACTGTTCTCACTTAGCGCCGCGCACATGTGTCGTACAACGTTGCGGCAGCTCCAAGGAGTTCAGATCGTTGGAACCCCCAGATTGCTCTCCTGCCACGGTTAAGGGTTGACAAGACACACAACAGGCACATTGATTCGCGGTGTCGAATTTTCCGGACGCGACAACCACGTTGATGCGCGGCGTTGAAGTCCCAGGAATGGTACTTGGGCACGATTGGGGATTCTTAGAAAATTGTCTTCCCACGAGACACTTCCCAAAATGAACGCAACTTCTTTTAGAAACCTGGAAATATGCAGCTCGGAAGAAGGATGTATTGCGATTTCGTTGACGCGTGGTGGGTCTGCCCTGGCCCCCCTCCTTCTCCTCTAAGGCGACAAAATCTATACATATCTGCTGCTCCCTGGCCAGGCCCATCCTGAACCCAACAAGCTGTGTATACGTCACGCCCTCCTGGCTCGGCCCCGAGCACGTACACACAGCTCCCAGATTCAGGATAGGCCTGGCCAGGGAGCAGTGGATATGTGTAGAGTTCGTCGCCCGATCCTCCTGCTCTACCTCCTCCTCCTCCCCCTCCTCCTCCGCCTATTCCTCCTGCTCCTCCTTGTCAGCATCAACAACAACATCATCATCATTATCATCATCATCATCATCATCATCATCATCATCATCATCATCATCATCAGCATCACCATCATCACCATCATCATCATCATCATCATCAGCATCATCATCATCATCGTCATCGTCATCGTCATCGTCATCGTCATCGTCATCATCGTCATCATCGTCATCATCAGCATCATCAGAATCATCATCATCAGCATCATCAGCATCAGCATCCTCATCCTCATCCTCATCATCCTCATCCTCATCATCATCCTCCTCTTCACCCTCATCCCCATCCTCAATCTCGTCCACATCCTCCTCATCCTTCTGTGGCAACTCACGAGAGGCTCCCATGTCATCCCGCTGGCTCTCGCGGAACGACGCTGGCAAGAAAAACCGGCGCGAGTCCGACACGCATCGCGCTAAAGTCGACGTTGCAACGGCGCTGAAACTCCCGATGGCCACGCCTGCTGCCGACGCCGACTGCCGCCACCGAAGGTCCCAGCAGGCCCCCAGGAGGCCACCAGGAGGCCGCGAGGAGACCCCAAGGGGCCCACACGAGGCCCCCG